ACAGGCTAATTATCTCATAAGCTGAATTGGGTGTCTTACAGCTGTTTCTCATGCACATTAACAGTGTTAAGCCTCAAAGCTTTGTGGAAAGCATTAACTTGAGGCATGTGGATGAAATGAAATTTGCTTTTGACTGTCTAAATATTTACTCAAGTATTTCTGTTTCATGCCCAGTACTACTGACAAAAGGCACTGCAGTTCTCACAGTCAGAACTAGGCTGAAGAAAGGCCACAGGAATTATATTGATCCTGGCTGGTTTTGTCTGTAATTGCTGCTTTTTCCTAGCAGCAAAAGGAAAGGGAGACCTCAGGGAAGAGAATTCTTCAGGAGGTGTGGGTGCAGTTAAGAAAAGGAAGTAAATTTAGAGAGATACCTTTGCTCAGACCAGAAATCAGCTCTGCTGGCCTTGGCCTTCCCAGAACCAGTGTCTCATCTTTAACAGTGTTATTTGTATATAAAAAATAACCCTGGCTATTCCTGAAATGTACTTAGCAGGAGGAGCAGGTTGTGGAGCAGGTTGCATAGTCCGTGATGTGTTAAAGTTCAGTGCAAGGAAGCAGCAGCAATTGCACGAGCAAAGCTCTGCCCAGCAACCTGCAGGTGTGCTGGTACTCCTGGGACTAGACAGGCTCACTGTTCCTGTGAAAATAGATTTGCTCCCATGCAGTGAGGTGGCGTGAGCAGAAGAATCTCCAGAGGTTGAGGATTATCCCCTGGTCAAAGGGATTCTCCAGCTCGGAGTGGCGCAGGTAGGAGATGCGGTGGTGGGACATGAACTCCCAGGTTGTGGTGTTGCACGAGATGAGGTACAGGTGGGAAACAAGCAGCAGCAGGACCACAGTGGTGAATATGACTATCAGGAGGAAGGAGAGCAGGAGGAAAATGTTGTACTTCAGCCATTCCCAGGACTGTTGAAAGTAGAGGCCTGACCTTTCAATTCAAAGAGAAATAAATCTGCAGTTAAAGGAGCAGAATAAGTTCCGTAAACCTGATGGCACATTTAAGTTTGATTCATAACTAGTGAGCTGCTGATAATCCTTTACTACACAGAGTTAATATACTGTAAAGTCCTGAGAGACTGCACCTGTAGGGATTGGAATCTAAGAAGTTCAGAAATGCTGGTTCCCCTGACAGCTGAGAGACAATCGCCTTGAGTTAACTCCTCTCCTGAACAGCTGGAACCCTGATGGAGTTTCCAGCACTTGGATTTGTAAACAAAGATCAGTAACAGAAGCAAAATGAACAATGAAACCTAAATTATCAGATTCTGCTCAAGATTAGGGGGCTCCAGGATGCAAAAGACAGTGAAGATCCAAAGCCAATCCAATGTTCTACACCAGCCCTTCCGTGGGCCTCGAGGAGCACCACAACTTTCAGCCATCTCAGAGGTCCAAATGCCACCTCCTGCCCTTACCAAGCAACGTGGCCTCCCCACAGCAGAACCACCAGCTGCACAGTCAGGTAGGCTATGAAGAGGGGGTGGTTCCTTTCTCCCACACAGTTCTCAATCCAGGGGCAGTGGTGGTCGTAGCGCCGCACGCAGTGCTGGCACAGCTGGCAGTGCCTGGCTCTCATGGGCTGCTGCAAAACAGAGACAATCAATCAGAAAAAGAAAAAAACCCTGCTGGCAGTAGTCACTGCAGTAGTGCTGTCCCACTCCCTGCTTGGTAGAACAGAACATCATGCAAAACTCTTCCTCCACAGCAGTCCTGTCCCTAAAGCACTCCAGGGTGAGACAACAGCACATCAGCATTGCTAAGAACAGCTCAAAGGGGTTGTGATTCCCCTGCTACAGACCCAAACGGGTGAGATTCAAACTAAGTGACTCTCACACATTATTTCTATCTACACATCTTTATTATCTACATATTTATAGGAAGTCCAGTGTGCCATGGAGGGAGACAGAGCCAATGAGTCCATTCAGGAAAGCACGAGCAGACTATTGAGGTGAGAAACTAGGACCACTGCTGTTGAATAGAGTGGGCAGGGATGGGATGTTTTTAAGGGATGCACAGAGGAGGGAAGTGTCTGCTTCTGTCAGTACAAGACACTTGCACAGGAAAGCAGCTCAAATACCAGGAACAGAAAAGATGAAAGACCTGACCGAGAAAAGTAGTGATTCCTAAGATTTGTGCCCTGAAGCATAAAAATGCTTTGCCAGCTTTTCCTCCTGCAATAAGCTCACTTCTCCTGGTAGATGTTCTTTAGGAATTTATGGAAGCTGGGATAATGCTTAATTTTATTAAACCGATAAGGATCACTCTGAAAACAGGCCTCTCTAAGCTTTAGGCAAACTGTTTTAAGAGCTAATTAAATTGCTCTAATTTCTCCTTCATGCTGTCTTTTACCATCCAGGCCAATGTTCTGTTGTTTTAAGGCCTCCAAACAAGCTCTCAATGATGATCAGCTCACACAGGGCACATTCAACTGCCCTTCTGACTATCAAGGTATGTTCAAAATAACCTTCTTTACACTGGTTGACATGGCAGTAAGAATGCAGAATACAATTTTTCCATGGCAAAAGAAGATCCTTGTTTCTACAAGCCAGCAGGGACTTCCAGCCTTGGAAAACTGGCCTTTGTGCCAGTGTCCATCACTACTACACGTGTAGCTACACAATCTGGCCTCCTCTGAGCAGCAATGATGGAGCAGAAAAACACCAACAGCAGCAGCTGAACTTTCAGATCACTCATCCCATCCTGTTCCAGCATGTTCTGGATGCCCACCTTCACCAGGCAGTAACCACAGCGCCGCAGCTTCACGTCACCCGTAGCCTGGGGGATCACCAGGCCCTGTCCTTCAGCCTCCCCTGCCTGCAAAAAAGAGACAGAAGAAGGTTTGTGTGGTGCTGTCTTGGCATGACTGAGCTGCCTTACTGCACCACAGTGCTGGTTATCTCTATCATTAGGAAAGTTAAAATAATTCCTTGGAATTCCTAGAGACGCTGCAGTTGTGGTACAGCGAGAGAGAAGGGGCTCCGGTAACCACGCAAAGAATGTTTGCACAGAGGCAGAAATAACTCTGGACAAGACACACTTTGGGACAAAAACAAGATTTCATTTCCAAACACAATAATGATGTCTTTTCAGTATAAGCAGTGCTACTTATTCATCCACAGCCACACTCACATTAATGATGGAGGACCAAGACTGATCATGCTTTTGTCCTGCACAGTCTGGCAGGCAGTGAACCTCAGGCAGACTATCAGTTACTGGAACTTTGCATCTCCATTTATCTCACTGTAACTTGTTTGTGTGTGTGTCCTCTGAGAGAGCAACAGATCCATAAACAGTTCAATAAACAGGGCTGCAGAGAGCACTGTCTGCCAAGCCTGCCCTTCAATTTAGGTTTTTGTGCACTCGTACCACTTAAGCAGCAGTTAGAATAAAATAGGTCATGTACACATTCTATAGGGCACTGCAGCCTCTGCTGGAAGAGAGGACTTGGGCTCAAATGGCACAGTCACAAGGTCAGTGTGGTGTGAAAGGCACATTTAAAGTCTGAACCCTTTTGCTGTTGTTACAGAATACGAATGTGAGGCAGTCTGGACTCATCTCCGATGGGCTGTGCGTGTTTCCTTCATGCCAGCACAACAGAAACTATTTCACACTTCTTATCTTGCAGAGCGGAAAAAGAAGAGAAGCCTATGGACTTCATAGCCTCTCCACTGTTCATTTATGAAGGGATTTACCTTTGCTTCCTCTTCAGGCTTAACAAAACCCGGATCCATGAGAGACACTTTGAAGTACAGCAGGACGGAGCACAGAACCAGCAGGACGAAGATGAGCGGCTGCAGCAGCTCCCCGCGCTCCTCTTGCTCGCGCAGATCTGAAAGGTACCCAAAAAAGAGAGAGAGCGGCAGCTCCTTGTGAAGCGTCCGGGATGTTTCCCTCTGGCCTTAGCCAAGGGATCCCGCACCCACAGGGAGAAACGGGGCGGGGTGAGCGGGGAGAGACTGAGAAGGGGCTCCCCACGCCCTCCCCTGCCCTGGGGGCACCCCCGGGCCGTGCCGGGGGGCAGGGCCCGCACAGCCCCGCACCGATCCCCGTCCCCCGGTGCCCCCGGGGCGGAGCGGCCCCGGCCCGGCCCCGCCTCACCCGTGCGGTGCAGGAGGAGCCCGAGCGTTAGGGCCGCGCTGAGGGCCGTGTGTGCCGCCCGCACCCAGCGCCCGCTGGGCCCCATGGAGGCACCGCGGCGGCCCCGGGGCTCCGCCGGCCCGGAAGGGAGCGGGCGGGGCCGGAGGGGACACGGGCGGGGCCGGAGGGGACACGGGCGGGGCCGGAGGGGACACGGGCAGCGCCCCGAGGCGGGGCCAGGGCGGCCTGTGCCGGCCCGGCGGGCGGGGGCTCCGCGGGGCACGGGAGTCACTTCCCTCCTCCTCGCGGGCACCGCTGCCCTCAGGCTCTGCTGCCCTGTCGAACCGGGCTCTCTTTCCTCCCCACCACTCCCGGTTTTTCCCGCTGCAGCCCGCGGGCCTGTCCTCCCCCACACACCGCCCGTGTTGTGCCCAGCGAGCCGGCCCAGCGCCCCGGGGTCTTGCCTCGAGGAAGGTGTTGGACTGGATGATCTCCAGAGGTCCCTTCCGACTCGTATTTGGTGTTTTCCCTGAGCCCCTTCCCGCCCCGAGCCCGGGCTCTCAGTGACTCTGCCGGGCTGTGCCAGCGGGTGTGGGGAGCGCAGGACTGGGCACAGTGCTCGGCACCTCCGACACACCAGGGCGGACACTGCTGGGTCTGCAGAGTGATGGAAGGGTCTGGGAGCCATGGAAGGGTCTGGCAGAGATGGGTCAGGCAGTGGGTGCCGTTCGAAGGCTGCTCGAGGTGGTGCCTGAGGTGCCGCACTGCGTTAACTCCAGTCTTGCCAATGTGGTTATTCCATGTGTTCATTTCCATCCCCCGGGAAAAGGCACAGAGGCCGTGCCTGGCTGGATGCGGGGCCCCATGAACAAAACGGAGCCTGGAGAATGCCCGACATAACTTGAGGAGGGATGTGATCTGGCCGGGGATGTCTGCACTGAAGAGGCTCCTGGCTGAGCGAGGGCATTGGACGGCCCGCAGAGCGAAGCAGGTGTGTTCAGAGAATAGCCCTTCTCAGCTGAAACAGGCATCTAAAAGCAGTTGAATTGCACCCCAGATGTCTCTTGCTAACAATAAAAAAGCTAAGGTGACTATAGCTTAGATGTACGTATTTACACTTGGAGTGTCTGTCAGTTTAGGGGAGATGAATCTCATCACAGGCCTGTAATAGTTCCAAAATCAGTGTTTTCTCTTTACACTATTTTCAGTTTTAACACAAATAAACCTTGCTGCTTTTGTTACCTTCCTTCTCAGTGAAAATTTGGAAAGAAAAATCCTATTCTTTCTAAATTTACCCTCCAGCACCTTAAAAGTAGCTGATTCCTTGATATTGTTTGCCCATAAATTCATTATTTTGGTCTCTTTAAGTCAGTGGCCACCTGCTGATTCCAGGAAAGCACCTGGCTGTGTGGGTCACTTAAATGGTTTACCTGAGACAGCTGGGTTGAAATGTTAATAAAAATTGTAGACAAAATTTTCAATAATCATTCAAACCCTTTTGCTTTAATTTTTTTTTTTTTATTCCAGGTAAATGCAAAACTTACAGCTATCCTCCCTCAGACACCTCACAGACTGTACTGGTGCTTGAAAAAAAGGTGGGTAGTGTCTTTCCTTCCTTGCAGAGAGGTGTAAATTTTAAAGCTTGATAATGGCAATCTGAGTAGTAACAACATTATCCACTTGAAAGTAGAAACATTTTGATGTTCTAGAATAATCTGTCCTAAGGAATGTATTCTCACTCTCTTTGTGATTAAAATAATTTGGTGCATGTTACTCTTTTTATCTTCTCCTTCAGCTGTGAAACCTGTCTTGCAGAGATCAGAGCTCATCTCTGTCTCAAGGGCTTCAGCCTCAGTGAGTGGTTGAAATTAGGCTCAGTTCCAGAAAATCTCTAATAGCGAGTTTCTGAGTGGAGATTCTAGGTTCTTATGGCATTCCAGCTAGGAATTCCATGCTGCTGGAAGCTTAAGGTATCTCTCTGTCCTCTTACAACAGGGCACATTTTCAGAGGCAGTTCAGTTTCATGTGATTCCTCCTCCCACTCCGTTCACCCTGAGTCTGATCCTTTAGAGACTCCACAATGACCACTGAATTAACCGGCAGTTGAGCCCTTGCAGGACCAGGGTCTTAAGAAGAAAGTCACGCTGGCCTTAAAGCAGATTGACTGGCTTAAGCCAGAGGCTTTTCTTAAGTGCTCAGCTTCTGCCCACTTACAAAGCCTGGGCTGTGGAGTGTGAGCTGCAGATCTGTTACGGAGTTCAGAGCAATCTGTACACTCAAATGTTGTCCTGATTTTTTTATTCTCCTCTCACACAATCTCTTAACAATACTCTCTTCCTCCACATCTCTTTTCTGTTGACAAACAGTATTGTATCTCTTGGAGTGATGAAAGGCAAAGCCACTGAACTGCACCATCAACACATGGCAGTTCCTTTCATTTGTAATGAAATATTTGACAGCAAACGGCCCAGTAATGTACCTAAATAAACCACATCCACAGACCAAAGGAAGAAGACACTGTTGAGCACTAGGTTTAATACACAGCGGGTATCCAATGGATACAACAGAAAAGTTAATTCATTCAGAATTGTAAGGAAGCAGCAGTTGTGCATTTTGATTTTTTTGCTGGGTTTCACCATGTACAAACATTTGAACCAGGCCCCCACATCAGGCAGGTCCATGGACAGAGTAAAAGCAGACACTCGTTATAACGGAGGGTATTTTCTTTCAGCAAAACAAGGAAATACATATTTGGTTAGCTTAAAAACTTCTTTAAAAACAAGAAAAGAGTTACAGAGAGAATCAGTGACAAGTATATGAATTCAAACCAAAGTCTGCTAAAGCAGAAGTGTTTCAGTTCAGCAGGAAATCTCCCTCAACCCTTATTTAAGTGCTGTCTTCTCCAGCCCTAATGTTCCTTTTCATCCATACCTGATGACTATTGCCCTCTGTGCTTCATGCACATGGTTGTCGTGGAGACCAGCTGTTTCCCTACTTTTAATTCTCTTTTTCTAGCACAAGCTGCCCTCTGACACCTGAGCTGTGGCAGGCTCCTCCCTGAACAGTCTCAAGAAAATGTTTTTTCTATGGATAGTTCCTGACTGCAGTGCCCCTGGAGCTCTTGTCCTACTTGTAATTAATTGCCTTCTTCAGGTGATGAGAGGAACTCAGCTCACAGCTCCAAGACTTTTCTTCCCACTCATCCTTTGCAGAGACCAGAGTGACAGCAGCAGCAGCCCAGCCAAGGTGACAAGCTGGGTAGGATTCAGTGCTGAAGAGAAACATTTCAGTAGGAAGGTGCAGGGAAACAGCAGCCCTGGTGCAGATGGATTATCTGCAGTGCTCTGATTGCCACAAATATCAGTGCTAAACTTGCCTGGCTTGGTCTAGATGAGAAAGTCTGGTGCTGCTGGGTGTTAGGCATCATACAAGGAGATGCCAGTCCTTATAAGCAATTCCTCCCACAGATCTTGTAAAATGGAAGCACTTGTGGGAAGTTGCCCAGCAATTTGGAAGTTGCCCAGCACTGCCTGCTGAGCCAAGGGCCACTGAAGGACAGGGCAGCCTCCAGCCAGGGAGGAAACTACACAGTCCAGGCAGAGGGATCCTTTGTTGGCACAGTCTCTGCAGGGAGCTACTGAGTTGTGTTCGTGCTCTGCTTGCTGAGCTTTGCAGTATTAAAGGAAATGTAGTAGTGAAATCATGAAGAGTCTGGGTGGGCCAACAGCTACTGAGCACAAGGAGCACCTCTGCCATGTGTTTACTCATGATGAACTTCTCTCCAGCTGGATTTTTCACTTGACAGTTCTGGTGACAACCCTGTTCTGGTTTTCTGAGCAGGGTTGGTGATTGGCTCTATGATTCTGTGTGAAGTTAAAGTCTCCTGGTTCATTCCTTTGATCCAGCAAGGCTGGAAGGTCTGAGGCTTCCCTGGAACAGGCAAGCATTTCAGGGTATCTGACTTCCCCTTTTACATTAGACCTTCATAAAAAAAATCAGCCACTTTGCCCTCCCCTCCTTGCAGAATACTGATATGATATCTGCAGGCAGCTCTCCTGTTCTGTCCTCAGCTCTGGATCTATGGCAGCAATTAACTCTGTCTCCAAAAAGTGCTTTCAGGTCATGCCTCTTGTTTCAGTTAGGGAAACTGTGGTACAAACTCATTTCAGACTTCCAATTACAGAATTCCTGGATTGTGCTCAGGTGTTCAGAGGATACCTTTCTCTCTTTTGCTTCTTACTGAAGGGGAAATGTTATTTTTCAGCTCACAAATTCTTGGCTTGAAGACATGGAAGCTTGTAGGCAAAGCTCATGTGACTAACAGGGATGGTTCTTCTTTTAACATGCTGTCTCAGGAATTTACCTTGCTGTGGCCTGACTCAAAGTCTGATGTGTAGCTTGCTGTAATTGCCCAGTTGTGGTTCCCCCTTCCCCTGGGATCAGTGACAGATTTCAGCTCAGACTGAGCTTTTCTGGCAGCCTGGCCCGACTCCATTAATCTCCTTGTTGCTGGGAATTTGAAATCTTTTTATCCTGGTTCAGGTACAACTTGCTGAGGGGCTGTGAGCAGTGAGGACAGAGGTTTACAGTAGGAAACAAAGCTTTGGTGCAGCTTGGAGCTTGTTAGTTTGGGATGCAGCAGGTGAGACCCCAGTAACAGCTGAACTTGGGGGGGCACTGGTTTGAAAAACCCAAACCTTTGGGGTCTTGAGGCAGATGGGACCAAGTCACTGGTTGTTCATTAGCCTTGATGTAGTTGTGCCAAAATCTCAGAGAAAAGCCTGACTGCACGGATTGCAATGCAAGGCTGAGCTCTGCTCCAGCTGAGATGGGAGTGCCACTGTCTCCCCAGGGTGGCAGCTGCATTCTGGGGACAAGGGTTTCTGATACCTCTCCCCCTGTGACGTGTCCCCTTCTGCTCCACTCCCTCCTTGCCAACAGTCAGAATCCTCAGTGCTTTTTGTCAGGTGATTTGAGATTTTAGTGGCAGGAGCTTTCACTACATGGGCATTGGGAAGGAAGCAAACCTGGTGGGCAGCACTAAGTGAAACAACTTCAGGACAGCAGCACTAAATGGAATTAAAGAGCAAAACCTGAACTCCCCTAACACACCAAGGCTGCCTGGCAGTATTTGCAGCCTCTCTTAGTTTTGCATCTAGAAGGAAGATCAGCAAATGTTACACAGAAAACAGATCTTGAAATAAGCTTCCCCATCTCAAAGCTTTAGAGACACAAATTCTTGGGGAACAGGAATAAGAGAGAGAAAAATACATTTTAAAAGACTGCAAAAAAGTATAATTTGTCAAGTTTTGCAAATCTTAAGAAAACAATTTGAAAGTGACACAAAAATATATATAAGTTTGAAAAATACTTAAAAGAAAAAAGTACAGATCTCACAATACCAAAACAAATGACATATGGTTAAAAAGAAAAAAGAAAAAAAGACATTGAATAACACCATATTGGCAGAAAAAGTAAACCTGTCCAGGCAGCTGTGTTCTGTCAGTTAAAGTGTCAGTTTGTGGATCAAGGATCTGTCTCTAACGTGCTCACAAGGACAACATGAACTCTGAGCATTAGCAGAACCTCATAGCAGCGAGTCAAATCTGAGAGCAACGTGTCCAAGGGCAGAGAGCAGCGAGTTACTGTGCTGAGAGGCCTGAAATGTCCCACCTCACGTGGCTGTGGGCTCCTCTCCTGCTACCAGGCATAAAATCTTTTCCAAGTCCCTTCTAAGGGAAGATTCGTGACTTGTCAAAGAGCTGTGGTGAGCAGTGGGCTCTAAGCATGAGCTGCACACTGTGCTTAGAGTGTCTGGCTGGGAGAAACTTCAGCTTCTGGAGCCCTTACAGGTCTGGAGTGTTACAGGTGAAGACCAGCTGGGTGGGACTCTCCTCTCACCTGCATCACAAACTGCAGTAAAGCTGCTGATGGGAGTGGGGCTGCACTGGGAAGTGCTGCTGGAGTCAGACAGGAGTAGGGCCTTCTGCTTCCGAGAAGAAAGTGGAACAAGAGGGGCTATTTCATGGGATTGCCCTCCAAAGGGTGCATGGAGACTCCCCACTCTCAGGAGAGGACTTCAGCACCTCCAATTCCAGCAGTTGTGCTGCAGTCAGAGACCTGTAAAGGGGAATTACTGTGCCACTGAGCACAGCTTGTGCTGATGCACACTGAGGAAGAGCAGAGCAGCTCCAGGCCATTCCTGGGACTTGTATGAGGGCTACAACTGCTCTGGATCAGGGCCTGGGAGAGTTTATTATGCAGAGAGAAATACTCTGGCTTTGTAGCCCTTCCCCACAAAAGAAACAAAACTAAAAGGTGGTGAAGGTCTGGAATGAAGATGTGTAGCCCTTTATGAACAAACCTGGTGCCTTCTTGCACAGGCTCCCTTTGAGAGAAAAGCTCTGTGTAGCCAAGAATATGTAACTGGTTTTACTGGTCATCCCTGACCTTATGAGGGTGGGTGGGCTGGCAGATCCTACTGTACTGCCAATGGGGACAAAACAGACCTCTTGACTTTACTGGGAATGTCTTACTTCTGGATGACCCATATACAGTTAGCAGTGCTTCCATTAATGTGAGTCTTCTATAAAAAACCCTTAAGGGAGTGAATTAACTTAAAAGATCTTTCTTCCCTATTTTCTCTATGTATAAATATCACTAAAAGGTCAGTTCTTTTGGTCTGTCTCTCTGGTATTGTGTCCCCCAACCTCTCTGACTAAATAAATAACTCATCCCTGCCCACAGCCCCACTGAGCAGCCAGTGCTGATTCAGGACTGGTGTTCTTGCAGACATTACAGGACCTCATGCAGTACAGCAAAAGGGAATTCTCTAAAAAGTGGGAAATAAACATGTCACACTAGTGATCACACAACTAGGTCTTCAAGCTCATGGTCATTTGAGGCTCTCTGTGTGGTCTAAAACAAAAAGGTTAAAAGATACATAATGTAGTTGTCTTTGTTTTTTGTTTTCTTTTTATACAGAAATCATACACACGGAACTTCAACCTGAAACTTCATAACAAAAAAAGTCCACTAAGGTAAGGAAAGCATTTTGTTGTGCAAAAAGTCCCTCCCCCCTCCTCTGTTCACCTTCATCTACTGAGGGTCTCACACACACACAAAGTTTCCTTCCAACGGGCGAGTTGGTAAGAAAGAGTCCTCCCTATGTACAGTGAGTTAGAGAGAAGCTGGATACAGTGCTGGCAAGAGGCATTGGGTGAGTGCCTCTATCTGGAAGTGTCCATGTTCTCCTCCTTAAAGTTACTGCAGTGCTCTATAACTTTCCTATGGATAAAACAAGGACAAGGAGAAAGGGTTTAGTGTAAAGCTTATTGCACCCAGTTGCGAGACAGTAAGGTAAGAACTGTCCCACAGTTGATCTCTATGTAACTTTATCCTCTTTGTGTCAAAACCAGTAAACTCCACAACAGCAGCTTAGAGCTCCCAGTCTGGAATGTCAAGTCACAGTAGTGCACATCCAGATCCATTTGTGACTGTTCATTCACCACCCCCATATCCAAATCCTCAGATACCTTTGAATCACAGCAGGAAACACGTGCACACAAATGTCTGTCATTCACTGTGCTGTCACCTGTGCCATAAACACACCCTGTGTGTAACTGTGATTGTCTTCTGCAGGCTCCAGTCCCCTCCAGCGCTTAGTGACCCTTCAGCTGTGGGAATACCTGCTGCCCACCCACCAGGTATGTGTTCCCAGCCCATCTCTACCTCTTTTATATTCATCCTGCAGGTATGAAATTACAGCTCTTGCTCTGCCGACGACCAGAGACTGCAGCTGGCTTTTAAAACCCTGAACAGATGACTCCAAAAGAAGGTCACGTAACTGGGGAAGCTCACAAAGGTGATGGACTCTCTCTACCTTTTCAAAAATGCTCTCATTTTAACTGTGCAGTCAGTAGTTTTAATGACAGACCAATATGACTCTGGAGACAGGACAGTGATGACTGGAGACTATTGGCCTAAGAGCTGCAATTAGTCACGTGGCTCCCTTGATCAACAAGCCAATTCTGTAACCAATTTGCCTGGCAATGATCTGTGTGCACTGCCCACCTACAAACACCTCTAGTCTGTTTTCACCTGTTTTTCCTGTGTTCACTTCATACCCCTTGCACACATCAATGCAGGCCTTGCTTTGGCAGCCTCACTTGATGTGGAAGAATAAAAACTAAAGTAAAGCTAAACTGGATGTTTGTGACAGTGCTCTGGTGTCCTACCGGGCCATTTCCTTGGTCTCTTGCCGTGCTGAGGCCATTTTGATCATGTCCTTCAGGAGAGGGATCCCACCTTCTTTGATCAGCAGCGGGCAGTACTTGTCAGCTGAAGAGAAAAGAATGAAACAGGCCCTTGTGAGCCCTCACAAGAGGGGTACAAAGGGTGGCAGGAGGGCAAGGAGAAGGATCAAAACAGTGAAGGAATTTCCTACACACCAAGTCTCATTGTTTTTGTTTGGCTGTGCTGCCTGGACATTCCTGCATCATTCAAAAAAGGTTTTCTCCCCCTACATAGCTTAACTGGGAAGACTTTTTCTGCTGACAGCCTCAGAGCCACCCCCTCAAGTTCTACAGTGCAAGGGATGTGATTTCAGAAAGGGAACTTACGGTAGACAGAGACCAGGTTATAGAGTGCCCAGGTGGCCCAGTGCTGGCTGACTGGGGAGATTCCTTGTGGAAGAAGGCGGAGGATTGGTTCAAATGACCTGCACAGAAATATTACAGAAGTTGTTAAAAATCCGAGAGCAGCTTCTTTCAGCACCTTCACCACTCACAGCAACACAAACTCTGCTCACAGATGTCACAGCAGTAAATGCACTGGCACGCCAAAGATTCTGGCACCAAGTCTGTGTCCCAGGGCAGTGCTGGCAGGATTACAGGCCCCACCACTTCAGCACAAACACTGCCCAGATAAATAGCTGCTAGGAGGGTGACTGAGCCCAAAATCTGATTTCCATCCTCAATCAGTCATTTGCTCACGACAGCTAAAACCCAGCACTGATCGATCTGTAGAGGGGATAAAGCCAAACTATACCCAGGCAAAGCTGGCTGCACACGTGCAAGGGTTGCTGTGTTTCTTCTGATGACAATGACATGTCTATACTGTGGAACAGGCACTGGAATGCCAGTTCTGGATCCCTGCCAAGCACTAAGGGAATACTGAGTACCTGATACCCTCTTACAGGAAGGGTTTTGGACGATCCCAGCAGTTGTATAAACGCATGAAGGGATTTCTGGGAACTGTGTCTAAATATGCCCCTGAGAGTGAAAGCTACAGCACATGACTTTGGGAAGCAAACACTTAAGGAGCTGCGAAGGACAGCAGTCTCAGAGCATGATGCTTAGGCAGTCCCACACAGATCATGGGTTTCCTGAGCTACTCAATTTCATCAGAAACATGCAGGAGAAACTCTGTCGGGCTCCCAAACTTCTCCCATAGGAATTGCCAGGTAAGGTGTCTAATTTCAGCAGCTTGTGTAACATATTTCAAAGGAAGATGTAAAACCCTCACTAAAGAATATCCCTGAGGATGTTCCTCTCTCACTTTGAACAGAGCCTCCATGCTGGGCTATATCTCTTCCATTCTCTCTGTTGGTGTTGGCTTCCTGTGACAATCCTGGCTCCTGGGTGAGTGGGCCAAACTTTTCCTGTTCCTCACCTGTAATTGATATTTCTCCTGGAGTTGATATCCCAGCTCTGGATGGCTGCCCACATCCTCTTCACAACTTCCTCTCGGTGGGGCTCACAGATCCCCCAAGCCTCTGGACCATCAAACATGATATGGGAGAGCACTCCACAGGCATTATAGGACACCTCAATCCCGTCGGCTTTGCTCTCCAGCAGGTTGCTAGCAAGGGAGACATCACTTAGAGGTGCTGAAGCAGCAAAGGTTTAGGAGTCTCCAGGTGATGGAGGAGCAGAGCTCCAGGCCCAGCTGATGAGCCAGGCACTCACCTGAACACACTGATGAACTGGGAGGTCATGAGCTGCGGGCGGAGCTCCTTCACTTCTGCCACATTGCCCAGGAGGCCCAGCATGTTGCGGTGCAGCTCCTGTTTCTCTGGGAATTCCTGGATGAGCAAAGGACAGGATTACATACAGGTAGGGCCACAGTGATGCCAAGAACAAGCAACCCTGGGGAAAGGCTGTACAGCTCATCTAGAAAGGCTGAGCACTTTTGGGAAGTCAGGAATGGCTCCTTAGCAGGAGCCAAATGGGATCTGGAGTGCTAAAGGTACATGTGAAGTGAGAGAGTTGAGACCAGGGCCCTCTGTTCACTGTTCACTGCTGCTCTGCTCAGGGGAACTGAGCAAAGCTGGGGAAAGAGGAAGATGTGTTGAGTTCCTCTGTTCTACTGGCTGGGTGGAAGGATGTGAGAAGAACATAGACAAGCTTTTACTTTTCCATTTGTGCAATGCAGGAAGTACTCCTTGGAGAGGAGCAGAGCCAGGGATCCTGCCCAGGCACCCACATCTCCACTGCTCGTGTCAGCCTCTCCCCAGAGACAATCACACTTACTTTCAAGCACTCCAAGAACAGTTTCATGCCGCTGTAGTTAAGGAACATCTCACAGTTATCTGGGGTCTCATCAGTGATGTTCCATAGGGCACTCCAGGAGAACTCCATCACCTGGTCACACTAGAGAGTCAAAGAAGGGACAGAATCAGAGCTTTGCTAATGTGGGAGCCTGACGCAGACCAACCACTTATTTCCTCTGGCATCACCCCAAATGGCTCCAAAGGTAAGAAAACCTTGTTATTCACTTTCAATTTGTCAGCAAGTGGGTTTTTTTGTTTAATATTTTTGTCTCCCTGTCACATTCCCCTGCCCTCAGCCTGAGACAAGAAATTCTGCAGCATCAGCTGAGATGTCTTGTGTTTGTCAGAGAAGCTGAGCTGGCACTCTGGGCTGATCTCCAGGCCTAAGTGGGACTGAAGAGAAAATACTCTATGTATATGTTTTTTTGGGGAAACACTCACCGTTTTATCAGCCAACTTCTTCTGAATCAACTTTAGCATTGTCTGTGGGCAAAGGAAGGGGAAGAGTGAGAAACAGTTTAGAAATCATGGAGCTAAAACTTAGCTGCTGTGGTACTGCAGGGGCCAATTTTCAGGCTTATTCAATTTTGATCCTTTGTAGAGAACCTACTTGGTATCTCTTTCTTTAAACCAATGGGACTGGGTTATGTTCAAAGTTGCAGGTATTTACAGAGATGAACTATGCCAGTCCCTGAACTGTTGAGTTTGTGGTTGAGTCAGTTTTGATCTGTATCACAAAGTCTGGGATGTGGCATAACTGCACCAGAGCACTGGCCTCTGCAGCTCTTGGAAAAGGTGAGGGACGTGGGTTGACATGAGCTGGGAAGCTGATGCAAACTTGGGGAGGAAGAGAAGGAGCAAGTCACAAGGTGGTACCAGCTGTGGAAATAACATGATGTGGTGAGGAGGTATAAGCTGTATAAGGTTACAGTGCTTCCTGCCCTCCCAGGCAGTCTCTGGGATCATGGCTGGTAAGCAAGCAAAGGAGGCTCCAGGAAGGGTTAGCACTGCTGGGACAGTGGTTCCCTCCTGTGATACTGTGAGGTTGGATCACAGCTGGATGCATTGGGTGAACGGCTGCAAGGGAACTGTGCTGGCCTGGGTTAAGGGTAAGCAGACACCCTGGGACCATACCAACCATGACAAACCCCATCTTGCCCACAGCTTCTTTGTGGTCGTTGTCCACCTGGCAGACCAGAGCGTTGCAGAGGTGCACAGCGATGCGCTGGATGGACTCGTCCTGCCGGCTCTGGTTGAGGATGTTCAGCAGCAGCTCGTTGACCCGGCGGTACTGGAACTCCAGCTCCTCGGGAATGCTGAAGTTACACAGTGTCAGGCAGCAGTTCCGCTGTACCTGGGCCAAAAGGAAGCAAACGCTGGGCCAGGTGGCTACAAAACCACCGGCCCCATCACTTCATGTTTCCTTTCTGCTTGGTATTGAAACCATCTTCTTGCCTCACTACAACTACTAAAATTTCAGTTACCCTT